GGTACATTCCCCTGGAAATCTGCCCTTTTTTTTTTTTCTGAAAGAGAGTCTCACAATGTCTCCCAGGCTGGAGTGCACTGGCACGGTCTCAGCTCACTGCAACCTCTGCCTTCCAGATTCAAGAGATTCTTCTGCCTCAGCCTCTCAAGTAGCTGGGACTACAGGCGCCTGCCACAGCTGGCTAATTTTTGTATTTTTAGTAGAGGTGGGGTTTCACTATGTTGGCCAGGCTTGTCTCGCACTGCTGACTTTGTGATCCGCCTGCCTTGGCTTCCCAAAGTACTGAGATTACAGGCATGAGCCACCATGCCCGGCCAGACGTCTACCCTTTTTAAAGCCAATCATTTGTTCTGGGAAAAACGTATGCATGAGAAAGATGCTTCACTGGGCCCCAAAGGGAAGCAGGGCTATGCAGTGGAAAGACCCTTGACCCTGGAGTGAGATGCACAGAGGGGCTTGTCTGGGTCTTGGGCCTGCCCTGGAGTTGCCATGTGTTGGTTTCTCCCTCTGGAAATGCAGATCACGAGGCCCTGCTCTCCTTATATTACACAGTGATTAGGAAGATCAGATGGGAGTGCCGTTGGCTCTTTGCGAGACAGTCAAAGGTGCTATGCATGGTGCAGTGGAAACAGGCTGGAAGTGAGGACTCTGGGCTCGAATACTGGTCTCGGCCCTTATCACTGTGGAACCAGGCAACACCGTTCATTTCTCTGGAGTCATTCTGAAAGTAGAGATAATGGCTTCACAGAGGATGTTGAGGCCCGGACAAGGTCAGGATGTCTCGAAGCTCTGATGCAGTAGAGCAGTGTTCACATCCTGCTAATTGTGAAGCTCCAGCTTTGGATTGGGTCACCCGTAAGGTCCCATTTAGCAAAGGGACCTTAAGCATGAAAGTATATTGTTGAAGAAGGTAGGTGGAGGTGAATTACACTGAGTCAATTCTTTTTTTTCTTTTTTTTTTTGAGACAGAGTCTTGTCTGTCACCCAGACTGGAGTGCAGTGGCACAATCTCAGCTCACTGAAAACTCCACTTCCTGGGCTCAAGTGATTCTCCTACTTTAGCCTCCCGAGTAGCTGGGATTACAGGTGTGCGCCACCACACCTGGCTAATTTTTAGTAGAGACAGGGTTTTGCCATGTTGGCCAGGCCGGTCTAGAACCCCTGACTTCAGATGATTTGCCTGTCTTGGCCTCCCAAAGTGCTGGGATGACAGGCATGAGCCACCAAGCCTGGCCACTGAGTCAGTTCTTATACACAGAAAGGCTTCCATCAGGAAAACAGAAAAGTAAACCAAAGCAAAATGTGTTCATGCATCTTGATAGCACAGCAGTGCAGGCTGCTGTGACACCTGCGTTGCCCAGACACCGCTCTGAAAAACTTCTCTGCTCTTAGTCTCTAGAGGCATTTCCAATCTGACTGCCCCAAATCCAGGTTAGAGCCTCGTTCCTTCCACCTGGACTGATGCAGGCGCTCCTGATTCTGGCAGAGGAGCGCTCTGCCTCCTTTCATTTCTGTCCTACAGGGAATACAGCATAGAATTTTCCAACTCTTCACCCCAGCCTGATGCCTCCCTGCTTGAGGCCTTCTGGGCTCCTTGCTGCTAAGCCTGAGCTCCAGGAAGCCTCCCCATCTGTGCTGTCTTTGCAGGACCTTCCCTGCACCCAGACAGCTTTCTATTCTCTGAGTTTCTTTGCCTTTCTGTCTTGTCTTCCTAACTTTCACTGTCCTGTCTAAATCCTCCTTCCAGGAAGCCTTTCCTGATCCTGAGTAGGGCTGCCAGATATAGCAGGTAAGAAATACAGGCCACCAGCCAGGTGCAGTGGCTCACGCCTATAATCCCAGCACTTTGGGAGGCTGAGGTGGGTGGATCACGAGGTCAGGAGTTTGAGACCAGCCTGGTCAACGTGGAGAAACCCTGTCTTTACTAAATATACAAAAGTTATCCAGGCATGGTGGCACATGCCTGTAATCCCAGCTACCCAGAAGGCTGAGGCAGGAGAATCGCTTGAACCCGGGAGGCAGTGGTTGCTGTGAGCTGAGGTCACGCCAGTGCACTCCAGCCTGGGCGACAGAGTGAAACTCTGTCTCAAAAAGAAAGAGAGAACGAGAGAAGAGAAAAAAAGAGAGAAAGAAAAGAAATGAAATACAGGCCAGTCAGTGAAATCAGAATTTCAGACAAACATACACTAAGAAATTATTCACTGGCCTGGCACAGTGGCTCATGCCTGTAATCCCAGCACTTTGGGAGGCTGAGGCGGGTGGATCACCTGAGGTCAGATGTTGGAGACCAACCTGGCCAACATGGCAAAACCCCCGTCTCTACTAAAAATAACAAAAATTAGCTGTGCATGATGGTGGATGCCTGTAATCCCAGCTGCTCAGGAGGCTGAGGCAGGAGAACTGCTTGAACTCCAGAGGCAGAGGTTGCAGTGAGCTGAGATCGCACTGCTTCACTCCAGCCTGGGTGACAGAGCGAGACTCCACCTCAAAAAAAAAAAAAAAGAGAGGGAGAGAAAGAGAAAACTGAAACTGGTGTATCTGGCCAGTCTTAAAACTCTATTTTATTTATTTATTTATTTTTGAGACAGAGTCTTGCTCTGTCACCCAGGCTGGAGTGCAGTGGCACAATCTCAGCTCACTGCAGCCTCTGCCACCCAGGTTCAAGCGATTCTCCTGCCTCAGCCTCCTGAGTAGCTCCTGACCCCGTGATCTGCCCACCTCGGCCTCCCAAAGAACTGGGATTACAGGTGTGAGCCACCGCACCTGGCCAAAACTTTATAATCCCTCCCCAGTTCAACACCATCTCACCTCCCCAAAACTACAGAGACATCATGTCTCCCCAAATGTAAGAGTAAAGAGTTGGACAAATGGTTTCTGAGGCTCCATCTAGCTTCCACAGCTTCCACAGTCTAAAATGTAAGCCTAGAAAGTGACCCTATTTTCTCGATAACTTAGACACATCGTAAACTCTTCAGGAATTAAGGAAGCATTACTACATGCTGTACAGACAAAGGCTATAGGATACTTCTAGATTTCAGAAGCATAGAAAAGTGTGCTTTTAGACATGAGGCGCATTAAAATGCTGTATGCAGTGGTTTGAGGAGGTGATAGAATCATGTTTCTGAAGATGATTCAAGGGCATATGGAAATGCTCGTATGTTAAAGGAGAAAAGCCATTAGCTTTTATTATTTTATACATAAATGTTTCAGAGGGCTACTGAATAACTTTTTAGAGGCTATCTTTTAAGAATAGAATTATGATAGTTTTTTTTGGGTAAGATGGAGTCTCCCTCTGTCACCTAGGCTAGAGTGCAGTGGCACCATCTCGGCTCACTGCCACCTCCACCTTCCAAATTCAAGTGATTCTCCAACCTCAGCCTCTAGAGTAGCTGGGATTACAGGTGTGCGCCACCACCCCTAATTAATTTTTGTATTTTTAGCAGAGATGGGGTTTCACCATATTGGCCAGGCTGGTCTTGAACTCCTGACCTCAAATGATCCACCCTCTTCCGCCTCCCAAAGTGCTGGGATTACAGGTGTGAGCCATCGCACCGACCCAGATCTTTGTTTGAAAAAACCATATGCTTTTATTTATTTTTAGCTTGGGGGTTGAGGAGAGACCTCAAGTATCAAGATTTGGGTTAATTGTACTCCGTAGGCACATTGTCATTAGCGATTTATAAAGTAACTTTAAAAATATTGACTATCCCCACTAGAGGGCACTCTTCTTAAATTTTAGATTGCCTGTAACTGAAGATTTAAGATCTTAAGTTTCAAGATTTCATTTTAACACAGTTGGGGACTGGAGCCTATTTATTTGTTTGCTTGTTTGTTTGGTTGGCTTTAAATAAACTTTTTGACTAAGTTAACTTTTTCAACCCTCCTTTTTATAATCTACATTTCTGTTTTGCAGAGTGTGTGGAACAATCCATTTAGTAATCTGTATCTCTTCCAAACAATCTTTTTTTTCAGTATATATTCCCTCAGCAGGATATTATTTAAAAGATGAATGCTAAGGGATTATCACTAATTTTGTTAGGTATAATAATGTCATTGTGCTTGGGGTTTTTTTTTTTAAATCCTTGTCTATGAGATACATTTTGAAATATTTATGGATGAAATGATTTACACCTGGCTGGGCGTGGTGGCTCATGCCTGTAATCCCAACACTTTGGGAGGCCGAGGTGAGCAGATCACTTGAGGTCAGGAGTTCAAGACTAGCCTGGCCAACATGGGGAAACCCTGTCTCTACTAAAAATACAAATATAAGCTGGGCGTGGTCATGAGGGTCTGTAATCCCAGCTTCTCAGGAGGCTAAGGCAGGAGAATCGCTTGAACGTGGGAGGCGGAGGTTGCAGTGAGCCAAGATCATGCCATTGGACTCCAGCCTGGGCGGCAGAGTGAGACTTTGTCTCAAAAAAAAAAAAAAGAAACATACATTTCCCAGGTGCTGCAGGAGGTGCTGGAGTAACAAGGGCAGACATGATGCCTGCCCTGCAAGAATCTGAGTCAGACATACTTGAGGTTTGGGGTGGGACCAGCCATGCAGTAAACACTGACTACCAATGAATCCTGGCTGGTAGCAAATACCCCGTTCCTGCAAGGCAGGGATTTTATTGGCATCTCTTTCTTAGTTTTATGGGTTTGAGTTGAATCATGTCAACCATGTGGTTAATAAATGAGAGATTTATTATTATTACTACTCCTAATAATAATTTCTACTAACGGTAATTTTAAAATCTTGATAGATTATAATTTTTCCCAGGACATGTAGCCTTTCATAATTATCATAACTATCTCATTGATCAGTTAGCTAAATTGCAACTGCTAGGAGCTGCTGCCTTCCTGCTTGCTGAAGTCACCTGTCGCTTTGCCCCCAGCCATCTAAGGGCCTGTCTCCTGGCTCACTGAGCAGACAGGCTGGCCCTGAGCTCTGCTCTGCTATGTGATGGTGGCAAAATCTGTCCAACGCTTTTCCTATCTCTCTTTTTATTCTACAGCAGAAGTATTGGGAGGCCCTAAACTCAGAGCAGGTATGGACAGTCATGCTCTTTCTCTTCCAGGAGGGGTTTACCTATGGCTTGATTTCAGTCCCTGTTTTTGTGAGACCTCCTTAGATGGCTGGCCCCATGACAAATTCCTTTGATTAAAAAAAAAAAAATGTCTGCCAGGCACAGTGGCTTCCGCCTGTAATCCCAGCACTTTGGGAGGCCGAGGCGGGTGGATCACCAGGTCAGGAGTTCGAGACTAGCCTGGGCAACAGAGCAAACCCCATCTCTACTAAATTATAAAAAAATTAGCCAGGAATGGCAGCGTGTGCTTGTAATCCCAGCTATTCAGGAGGCTGAGACAGGAGAATCACTTGAATGTGGGAGATGGAGGTTGCAGTGAGCCGAGATGGCACCACTGCACTCCAGCCTGGGTGACAGAGCAAGACTCCGTCTTGAGGAAAAAAAAAAAATGTCAAATGAGAGGCAAGACTTAGGTTCCATGGGATTTTCAGGGCTCTCTCAGTTTTGAGTTCTGCTTTGTGGGTATTCAGTTGAGCCCAGGCTATCTAGTAGGGACTCCAAGAAGGTGTGTAACCCAGTGAAGAAACATGGTTTGGAATAATAGTGACAGACGTGGCTGCAGCAGCTGTGGCAATAAACAGTTCTGCACATCGTCATTCTGGGACCCTGGGCAGCTGGCGCTGTCTCTGTGCCACCCTTGCCTCCAGGTGACAGATGGGCATGTTTTGTGACAACTACCTGTGCCTCTCGTCTCCTAGGGTTGTTTCTGATATGAAAATGGATCCTCTTTTGCTCAGATTCTCTCATGCCTGGTTTCCAGCGGTGGTTTTATTATAAAATGAAGTTTTAGGCTGGGCGCAGTGGCTCCTGCCTGTAATCCCAGCACTTTGGAAGGCCGATGGGGACGGATCACCTGAGGTCAGGAGTTGGAAACCAGTCTGGCCAACATGGGGAGATCCCTGTCTCTACTAAAAATACAAAAATTAGCTGGGTGTGCTGGTGCGTACCCTGTATCAGTTTAAAGGCTCATCTGATCAAAGGGACAGGTTGTTTCTGTTTGCAGGCACCTGAACTGGTCAGGGTTGGCAAGAATAATTCTTAAGCAGCCATTTAAGAAGCTAGAACAGTGGTTTTCAATTATCAGGGCATCTAAGAATCATTCTAAGAGCTTGTAAACATGCTAAACCTTAGGTCTAAACCCCCTACCTGGGGGCTAGGGTGGGCCACCAGCATCAGTGGGTTTTTGTTTTGTTCTCTTTTGTTTCGAGACGGAGTCTTGCTCTGTCACCCAGGCTGGAGTGCAGTGGTGCGATCTCAGCTCAGTGTAACCTCCACCTCCTGGGTTCAAGCGATTCTTCTGCCTTGGCCTCCCGAGTAGCTGGGACTACAGGCATGTGCCATCACACCCGGCTAATTGTTTATAATTTTAGTAGAGCTGGGGTTTCACCATATTAGTCAGGATGGTCTCCATCTCCTGACCTTGTGATCCACCCGCCTCAGCCCCCCAAAGTGCCGGGATTACAGGAGTGAGCCACCGCGCCCGGCTGGCATCAGTGTTTTCAGCCAGCAGCCTGGGTGCGTCTGGCCTGACTGGCCAAGAACGCACTCTGACAACAATGATCTAGGTCTCAGACCTCAGCTGGGAAACAGTTTTCATCAAAGAACACACTGGCCATCCTCAGAGAACAGAACAGAGCCCTACTTCTTTCACTGGGGAGGGGGTCATGTAGGCTGAGGGGCTTGGTGGGCGCTTTTATGTAGGATCTGATAGTGTCAGAAAGGAATTTGGTTAAAGGGCTCCAGCCAGGTCTGCAACCGCAAGTTAATGAAATGTTTGCACTTCGAAGTGGGTGGCACAAGCCCAAACAGGTATAGGGGATGAGGGGCACAGAACAAGTCACTGCAGGGTCACTGGGGATCAGGTGGTCTTTTTAACATGATGGCTTTTAAAATCACCGAGTATTAGAACTCCATTCAGTTATTATCAGTGCATCACTATCAAACTGGGCTCTTTATTTCTGTTCAAAACAAAGCCGCAACTTGTGTTTTATAACTGCCATGGCATGAGCATGACGTCAGTGGCTCAGGGGCCTTCAAGGTCTGCTCTGGGACCTCTAAGGATCCCAATGTTTGATTCAGCTTCAGTTCGAGCAGCGTTAGAGCATCTTTCTTGGAGTGCATGTCCATGCCTGGCTCTGTTATCTGGTCCAAACAGACTGTCTGCCCAGGCAGACACATCCTGCGTCGGCTTTGCTTGCTGTCGTTTCCTGGTACTGTCGAATCTGACCTTGTGCCTCAGAATCATCAAAGAGGCTCAGAAACGGGAGGTGCTGATCCAGTACCACAGCTTACAGGTGGGGAAACTGAGGCCCCAGAAAACGAAGGCAAATTAGTGACAGGAGGAGGACTTGAGCCCAATCCCTACCTGCCTCCATGGCTAGAACTCCAAAGGTAACACTAAGGAGCCCCTTGGGCTTGAATCCATCATATCAGAACAACGGGAGGACTTCACAGACAGCTTCGTCAGTGCTTGTGTGCCCACTTGTTTTGTTTTTGTTTTTTTTTGAGGTGGAGTCTCACTCTGTCGCCCAGGCTGGAGTGCAGTGGCGTGATCTCAGCTCACTGTAAAGTCCACCTCCCAGGTTCAAGTGATTCTCCTGCCACGGCCTCCCAAGTAGCTGGGACTACAGGCGTGCACCACCAGGACCAGATAATTTTTGTATTTTTAGTAGAGATGGGGTTTCACCATGTTGGCCCGGATAGTCTCGATCTCTTGACCTCGTGATCCACCCGCCTCGGCCTACCAAAGTGCTGGGATTACAGGTGTGAGCCACTGCGCCCCACATGCCCACTTGTTTTAACTTTTCACTCTTACCCCAGCAAATTTTAATTTCCCATACTCAGATCTGAGTCAGTGAGGAAATAGTCACTGGCAGTGCCCACCACTCTGAATTGGGATTTAAGTGTTGACAAGTCTGCTGAGCCTCAGGTTTAGAGGAAGCACCACATAGGAGGCAAGAGTGAACCTTTGCTGTGTTCCTGAGGAGCTCATCTACTGAGACAACAAGGCAGATGTCCAAATAAATGTCAGGGCTGTCTGTGCCCAGGTGCAAATGAGTGGAATCGGTAATACAAAGCAAGATGCAGGTGTGAGCTCAATGGGCTAATGCAGTCAGGGCATGCTTCCTGAAAAGATATTTATCTGGCCCATAAAGAACAGGCTGAAGCTGGGCGTGGTGGCTCAACCCCGTAAAAGCCGAGCACTTTGGGAGGTAAGGCGGGTGGACTGCTTAAGTCCAGGAGTTCAAGATCAGCCTGGGCAACATTGCAAGATTTTATCTCTACTAAAAATTAAAAACCTAGCCAGGCATGTAGTACATGCCTGTAGTCCCAGTACTCGAGCGGCCAAAGCAGGAGGGCTGCCTGAGCCCAGGAGTTTGAGGCAGCAATGACTGTGACGGCACCGCTGCACTCCAGCCTGCGTGACAGAGCAAGACCTTGTCTTTAACAAATACAATGAAAAAGGATTAAGTCTGCCTGCCTTTTTTCCAGGGATGAGTTAGGCATGGAGTCAGGATAAACAGAACATGACTCAGTCTTACTAGACAAGGACTTGTTGCAGGCAGACAATAGTGGAAAATGAGGGTGGGAAGAAAGTGAGCTCTTATGTTTTGGGTGGATGCCCATTAGTTCCGTGATTTAAAGTTATGCTTGCCTCCTTAGGTCCTAGAAACACAGGCCTTACCTGTGTAACGGTGACTTGTCCTTACCCTTTTGTCCTTGTCTGTGCCTGGATCATGGGAACCAGGATTGGAGCTGTTGTTTCGGGGGTTCAACAGATGAGAAGCATCCGTGCCACCCAGGTACCCTTTGTATCTTTTCTTCACAGTGGGACCCTGAGGATGTGAACCTTGAAGGGAGCAAAGACAACGTGGAGATACTCTGATCCCAGGTGTAGCGGGACTCTGAGGACAGCAGACCTGAGTGCTGATGATTAACACCTTTGGAGCCAGCTGACCAGCTCAGAGCCCAGGATCAGAAATGTGTTCAGTAATGCAGCGGGAATCAATCTGCACTGACTCCGTGGCAGGAACTGAAGCTGCTGCAGAAGCTGCCCTGGAAAGTGAGGAACCAGGAGCCGCCACTGAGTGTGGCTGGTGGATGTCATAGCTCATAATGGAGCTAAGACTTTGGGTCCTGTGGACAGACCTGGACAGGGCCGGCATTTGTTCTGAAGATTACAAGTTTACAGACAGCGCTTGCGTTGTAAAGATAATCCAAAGGACATTGGACCCGCTTTTCCCTTTATTCCCTTGAGATTCGGCCATAAACTGAATACCTGCTAAGTTTCAGGAAGAAGTTTTTTTTTCTTTTTTCTTTTTTGAGACAGAGTTTCCCAGGCTGGAGTGCAATGGTGCAATCTCGGCTCGCGCAACCTCCGCCTCCCGGGTTCAAGTGATTCTCCTGCCTCAGCCTCCCAAGTAGCTGGGATTATAGGCATGCACCACCACACCCAGCTAATTTTGTATTTTTAGTAGAGACTGGGTTTCTCCATGTTGGTCAGGCTGGTCTTGATCTCCTGACCTCAGGTGATCCGCCTGCCTTGGCCTCCTAGAGTGCTGGGATTATAGATGTGAGCCACTATACCCAACCATGAGTTAACCTCACAAATAGCGAGTATGTTTGGATCTCAGCAGAGCCCATTCTGGAAGATCTGGCTGAGCCAGATGAAAGGGGTGGGCCCTGTGCTGGGGGGCCTGGGGCACACACCGGAACCAAGACCTGCCTCCTGCCCCCCAGTCACCCACTTAAGTTATCTACTGGAAGTTATAGATATGACTGTGTGGCCAGCCAAGTGTTTGTGAGATCACTGACACTGCAAAACAAAGCAGACTGCACTGGGTACCAGGACTTCCTCCAACCTGGCAAGGTGTGTGCTGAGGTGGGGTTTGCAGGTCAAGGGAACTGTGTGCTTCAGGAACTAACTAAATGCATGTGGAGGATAAGAGGCATCATGAGAAGTGTTCAAGCACAGCAATCCCATTTGGGGATGATTTGGAGACTGCCATGAGTGAGGGAAGGGCGCAGGGAACGGGGCTAAGGTGGGAGTGAACATTGGGGTGAATAAATTCTTTCTAAAGAAATTAAAGTGTTTCCATGTGGAGTGCAATGGTAAGTATGAATCCCTGCACAGTTACAGAAGTCTGCCCCCAGAGGAACTGGGAGAAATGCCAAGCAACACAGTTCTGCTCCAGGCTGGCCCACAGCCACCTGGGTGACTCAGCTGTAGCAGCCCCGTTTCTCCTGAGAGGCAGCACAAGTTCCAGCAGCATGAAGGGGGTGCTTTGGGGAAGTAGGTTGGCTCTGCAGGTCTCTGCATGGATCCTAATGCCCGGGTGACCTCTGAACTACAAGTGATCTTAAAGCCGCCTAGTTATCCCCTTTATCTGAACTGTGTTGGTCCCTTTGTTGAAGTCAAAGTTTGTGATGTTAACCACTGAAGCTGTACTTCCAGGGAAGAGGAAGATTTGAATGGAGGCCCAGGATGTGGGGAGAAAAGAGTGTTCAAACAGATGAAAGTACAGAGGGCTGGATGCAGGGAAAGGTGGGAGTGAGCAAGGCAGGAAGGATCTGAGATGGCCGGAATGGATGATGCAGGATGGGCTGTGGGGGTGGGCAGAGGCTGAAAAGGAAGCAGACTGTGGAGGCTGGTGAGTCAGTGCTTGGTTCTGTGGCCAACTGCTAGCAGAGCAGGAAGGTGACTGACTTGCCTCAGGTACAGCACAACTGATTGGTGAGCTTTTCATCCCTAAGGCTACAACATTCCAGGAAGCAGAAATGTCGTCATGGGTACAGAATGAACGTCGGAAAGAGGTTTAATCTAGAGTACTGAGTGGTAACAGCAGAGCAGAAGAGCTTATCTTTAGAAAGGCAGAATGTGTGGGGATAGGATGACTTCCGGAGTTTGCCTTTAGCACACCCTCTATCTTGAGGCAAGTCTGGATCATGCTCCCTGGGGCACCAAAAATTGGTTGGATCCAGGTGAAAGTGGCCATTCACCCAAGAATATCAAATGATCTTGGCCAGGTACCATGGCTGACGCCTGTAATCCCAGCATTTTGGTAAGCTGAGGTGGGCAGATCACTTGAGGATAGGAGTTCAAGACCAGCCTGGCCGACATGGTGAAACCCTATCTTTACTAAAAATACAAAAAATTAGCCAGGTGTGGTTGGGGTTCCTGTAATACCAGCTACTCGGGAGGCTGAGGCAGGAGAATCACTTGAACCCAGGAGGCGAAGGCTGCAGTAAGCAGAGATCAAGCCACTGCACTCCAGCCTGGGAGACAATGCGAGACTCCATCTCAAAAAAAAACAAAAAATTAGCCAAGCCTCGTAGCCACGCCTGTAGCCCCAGCTGCTTGGGAGGCTGAGGCACAAGAATTGCTTGAACCTAATAGGCAGAGGTTGCAGTGAACTGAGAATGCACCACTGCACTCCAGCCTGGGCAATACAACAAGACTGTCTCAAAAAACAACAAAAACCTTGCTGACTTTGAATAACACGAACTACCGAAGGGCCAGATATTATCTCTCTTCCTAGATCCCATCAGCCCAGCCACCTCCCTTCACAAACTAGTTTTGATCATCATGGTCCCAGCTTGTCTCAAGGGTAAGTCTCAAGCCTCTTCATGCACAGTGAACCACAAAACTGGGAATTTTGGAAGCAAGGTTTGGCTTCATTGTTCAACAAGACTCCTCCTGTATACAAAGCTCCAGAACACTGGAGCCTCTGTGAAGAGATGCCAATCAGAATGCCTTTCTCCTAGTAGGAGTGGGCCTCTGTTGCAGCTTTGTCTCTAGCCGTGAGACCAAGAGGGCAGTGGGAGTAACTTGCCCCAGTGACCCAGTGAGCAGTGCACCAGCTTACCTACACTAGGGAGGGCTAGGGAACAAACGAAGGAGTCATCTGCTCACCCACCTGGAGATGTGTAATACTGGCTGGTTGTGCTGCCTATCATGTGCGTGGCTTGCCGCATGTCACCTAACCTTTGTGAACTCCTTAGGTAGACTAATACCAATCTAGAAAGCCTATGGTGAAGACTAAGTGAAATAACATGTGAAAATGCAAACATAATACCTATTCAAAGTAGATGTGGAAGAGGGATTAGTGTTCCCCGCACCCCATGCTTCCTGTACACATATACTGAAAGACAGTAACCAAATAATCAGACCTACAGATGGAAGAGGTTTCAGAGGTCTGAATTCCCTTAAACACAACCCCAATTAGTGATTATTCAGTCCCTACTTAAGCTACTCTAAAAAAAAAGGATTTCACCTATTTCAGGTGCCAAAGTCTTTATCATTCAGTGAGAGCTCTGCTAAGATTTTCTTAAAAGCCTGTCTAGATCCAGAAGAACTAACCCCCTTATCTTCCTCCCTCAGTATGATGAGGAGATTTATGAGCGTCATTTGAAGACACATTCACATTGTTTCTTTCAAAGGGGTATGAGCTTCTAGAGTAAGAAGAGGCATCGGGCCCAGGAGCATGGCTAGGCTCCAGTTCCCGGGTCTGATGCAGTGTGATCTCTGTCATTTCCCCATGTCACAGTTTCCTCATCTGTAAAGTGAAAGTTGGGTCTGGTTTTTTTCATTTTTTCTCTTTTATTAATGTGCCAATTTGTTTCCCACAGCATACTAACATCTTTATAAACTTATCTGAAATAAACACACATTTCAGATATACTTTGAAAATAGGTTTCGTTTTGTTTTTAATCTTAGGGAAATTTATTTTAAAAAAATAGGTTTCATATACCTTTTCTCATATACCTATAACATATACCTCTTTCTGTTTGAATTTTACTATCCACTTAAGATAAAAACGTGTATCAATCACTAAGGAAAAGGCTAGAGGAGACTTAGAAATATCTCTAGAGCTGGGTGCGGGGGCTCACGCCTGTAATCCCAGCACTTTGGGAGGCTGAGGCGGGTGGATCACGAGGTCAAGAGATCGAGACGATCCTGGTCAACATGGTGAAACCCGGTCTCTACTAAAAATACAAAAAATTAGCTGGCCATGGTGGCGCGTGCCTGTAATCCCAACTACTCAGGAGGCTGAAGCAGGAGAATTACCTGAACCCAGGAGGCGGAGGTTGCGGTGAGCCGAGATCGTGCCATTGCACTCCAACCCGGGTAAGAAGAGCGAAACTCCGTCTCAAAAAAAAAAAAGAAAAAAGAAAGAAATATCTCTAGAATAATTTTGCAACAATTCCAAGATTCTCTGCACTTCTTTTTCTGTCCCTTAATTAGCCTTCTCTGTATTTTCCAACTATGGAGGTATTGCTGTACTCTCTTCAATTTTACATAGTTTTCTATGCTTTTGCAAGGAAACTCTGCCTTGAACGAACCCAAGACATAGTGCAATGTTCAGGAACATCTCCAAGTTTACACCTGCCTGTATGATATCCCAAAGGTCGTCATCAGGTGAAAGGGACGACCTTAGAGAAAAAAGAAGTTCAAGGAATGGTGCTCCCTTAAATGACTTAGTATTAGAAAATACTGACTTTGTGGCCAGGAGGCTCACGCCTGTAATCCTAGCACTTTGGGAGGCCAGGGTGGATCATCTGAGGTCAGGAGTTCAAGACCAGCCTGGCCATCATGGTGAAACCCCATCTTAAAAAAAAATTTTTTTAATAAAAAATAAATAAAATTTTAAAAAGAAAAGAAAATACTGACTTTTTCTTTTTCTTTCATCAACCCTGGAAGCCAAATAAGGCAACTGGGCATTCAGGACTTCTTTTGAGCAAAACACATGATTAACACGTGATTACAGAGAGTTAACTTCTTCAAGACCAGAACACGTAATTACACAGACTTAACCTCTTCAAGAGCGTCTGTTAATCTGTCGCTTGGAGAACTCTGCATACTGTCCCAATTCCGTCTGAGTTTTCCATCAGCTACCAGTGTCGGCAGCAGAGGACTCGGGTCTTCTAGTCCTCCCCTCAGGGTCTGGCAGCTGTGACTACTGCGGAGTTCAGTCCCCAGAGTCGGAAGCGCTGCCTTTCCCTTTTCAATTGCCAGGGAGCTCATTCACGACCGTGCTAGACGGGCAGCGAGTGGTCTTCTCGAACTACACGGAAGAGAAACCACCTGAACTAAACGCCAGCTCTCACTGCTTAACAGCTCCCACTACCTAACTCTTCCCAGCTGCCTCCGCCGACATCTTCCTGACCATTCCCAGCACCGCCAGCGCACTTCAGAGAACGACATTGCGACTCGGCGCATGCGCACTCCGCAGCCACCGCCTCCCGCGAGGAGCGAGGGTCCCGCGGCCCAGCCCCGCCGGCGCTGACGGCCCGGGTTTCTGCCACTAGCCAGCCGCGACCTAGCCAGGGAGAAAAACCGCTAAGGGCGTCTCCGTAGTGCAGTTTTCATCCCACGGGGTTTTTAAGGAGATAATTACGAGGTTATTTTACGGTTTATATTGTGTGTAAGACCTCCCAGCAAACTGACACAAGAGCAGAAAATCAAACACCGCATGTTCTCACTCATAGGCGGGTGCTGAACAATGAGAACACATGGACACAGGGAGGGGAGCACCGCACACTGGGGTCTGTTGGGTGGAAATAGGGGAGGGACAGCGGGGGTGGGGAGTTGGGGAGAGATAGCATGGGGAGAAATGCCAGATATAGGTGATGGGGAGGAAGGCAGCAAATCACACTGCCACGTGTGTACCTATGCAACAATCTTGCATGTTCTTCACATGTACCCCAAACCTAAAATGCAATAAAAATAAATAAATAAAATAGCCAGGCACGGTGGCTCACGCCTGTAATCCCAGCACTTTGGGAGGCCGAGGCGGGTGGATCACGAGGTCAAGAGATCGAGACCATCCTGGTCAACATGGTGAAACCCCGTCTCTACTAAAAATACAAAAAATTAGCTGGCTATGGTGGCGCGTGCCTGTAATCCCAGCTACTCAGGAGGCTGAGGCAGGAGAATTGCCTGAACCCAGGAGGCGGAGGTTGCGGTGAGCCGAGATCGCGCCATTGCACTCCAGCCTGGGTAACAAGAGCAAAACTCCGTCTCAAAAAAAAAAAAATTTAATTTAATTAAAAAAAAGACCTCCCAACAGCCTAACGGTGTATTATGAATCATTCT